GCAACACCAGTGCATTCAAATTAATAGGAACTTGAGATTGGTGTATTATGACTGTAGCAGCATGCATGACTTTGTACCAGTAATTAAGTTTAGACTTCTCCATTGGACATTGGACCCTTGGCATGCTGTTTTGTGCTTGCCAGTTCTTAGTATTTCTGATCTGTTTAGCAATAACATGGAGTTTAAAATGCATGGTGGCTTTTACAAGACACTTTGGGTGTCACTCCCTGCTGCCTCAAGCGACAGATTTCGAACATCGATTGGCTATTACAGGATTTTCGTGTGCTAATCAGTTCTCAGGACAGTCCTTTTTACTTGAGATAGGGTGAAAAATACAAATGAACTATTGAAGAGGAGTGTTGAGGAGAGTGGATCAGCTTTCATTGAAAAGGCAGTGCGGGCAGGGCTGGCAAGAGCTAGGTACACTGCAGATATCCATGTTATTTAGGCTTCTTTTCAGACCTCTCTGCCAGTGGGGCTCAAACCAAACCTGCTGTTCTGGAACCAAGCTGAATACAAATAACTAGGATGGTGACATTACCTCGTGATCAGAGAGCTACCTAAGCTACAAAATGGTTCTGTGTCCTTCTTAAGAGACAAATTCCTGGATACCAATGGAGGAATGTTTTTAATGATAGTGGATAGTTACCCTCAAACTCATTTTCCCCAGGGGTTCATCTGACTCTATATTGGGAATTTGGGAGCCTTGTTGTAAGAAGCTTGTTTTAAATTGCAGTATTTCTGGTCAAGTAGATTGTTAGTCAAAAAATCAAGCAGTCTGGCAAGAATTTTGTGTATGTATGTTGAGTATTATGAGTCTTAATAGAGGAAGAGAGTGCCAATGCAGGGAAAAGTTAATTGCTGGTAAAACACAATTAAGAACCTTTTTTTCATTCAGGAGAAAGAAGTGTCAAAGCGGAGCAAGTGAGTTCCTCTTCTAGAAGCAGCAGCATAGGCGGATGTTCTTTAATGACTCTGTGTGGAGCAGCTGAAAATTTTACAGACTCTGGCTGCTTATCACCACCAGTCACCGTGAGGTTTATTGCCCCTCAGCTCAGTCAGTAGGGTATAAAATATGAACATTATTAAATAAAGCTTCAGTGGAAAATTAGCCAGATAAGCAAAACCCACTTTCATTAGTTATTTAAGGAAGGATGTCTGACTTTTGAACAGAAGCGTAGGAGATACATGCTCATATTTCGTTCTATTAGCTTCACTCTGTGGGTGGTAATTTACAGAATTAGCAAGTGGCCTGGTACGTGTGTGAGGTCATAGACTGTTTACGCCACTCCAGTGTTTTCCAGCATGGCTGTATATTAGATCTTTTAACCTTTCCTGGTTTATCTGCCATTTAAAAAAATGGCTGATAAGTTTAGGAATTAAATACAATCAAATTCTAATGGCTTACTCTAGAAGCACCTATCAGCTGAGCAGCTGTGACAGAGCATTCCTGTTGTCTACTCATGTCTCTAGTTGAAATATGTTGCCTTTTTCACATAGTTTAAGCTAAGTTTATTGACCTCATTTACTGTGATGTGTTAACAGTACTCAGTAACCAATGCTTAGAGTGGCTCAGCTGATGTGCAGTTAGTTGTTATGCTACCAGAGCTCTCCTGTGTGCTTGAGGCTTTTTGATCTCAGTTCTCTAGAGAGGTATTCAGTATGCTACAGAAATGAAGCAAAATGGAACAGCATAAAAACTAGCACCATGCTTTTGGAGCAACAATATTTTTCCTTTGGGCAAGGAATATAAAAACTGGTTTCCATGTAGGCAAAGAGAAAGAATCTTTTTATAAAGCTGCTTACATTATGTACTAACAAGACTAACAAAGTAAGTCAGCTATCAACATCCCCGTGTGCTTTACTTGATGTCTTTGCTTTCGTGATTTTTATGTACAATTTTCTATCAAGATTTCAAAGCTAGCATTTTTGCCTACTGGCTGACAAAAACGTGTAGACTAAGATTTCTATAACTTGTCATCACTGTATTTTCCTTACAGAACTAAAAGGGAACTCCTGGATCATAAAATCCATGTGCAATGTCATATAATCGTGTTGATCAACTAGTCAAAAGCAATATTAAAGCCACTATTTCTATTAAGAAGTAAGCCAGAATCTTATTATTTGGATGGCTAGAAAGTGTCATGGAAATTAATTCAAGGTATAAGAATGATCTATGTATTGGAATTACCTTCTTACCACACAAATTTGTCACTGACTGTACCAAGTTTGCAGAAAATCTGACAGCCTTAGAAATCGACAGCTCAAAGCTATTTTATAATGGAAACTATATACTAAATTAAAGTCACTTTTTCAAGGAACTCTGGTTAATGCTTATATACAAAATGTTGTATGTTTCATTACTAAGCACATTACAGGCAATAGGTAACAAAATATCTTGTGATCCGTTAATTGCACAAAAGAAAATTGCAAGGTTATAATTTTTTCATATTCTCTCTTTTATTCGTGGATAATGCATAAAAGTACCCTTTTCAGTGGCACTATAACTGTACCTTTCTCCTAACATTTTCTTTAACCAGTATGTAGATGCCAGTATTTTACAATTGAGAAAATTATACTCAAGTTAGAAGTCAATGCCAACTCAGCTTAAGACATTCTCACTTAAGTATTCTAAAGCTGTGTATTTAGGCTTTTGAGCACGTCAGCATTTTGTATGGTATATGAAATATTTTTTTCCATAAAGTATCCTGTTATCTTTTCCCTGAAGTCCCGACTTCATTAGGTGAAAGAGTATTTATGTCTCATTAAAACAGCTGTTACACTGAGGTAGAACTATCTCTGTTGCCACCTCTACAGTCAGATCTTACCCACAGTAGCTGTCTCACTGGAGCAATTAACTTCCTGTTTTTCCTGCCTGTACACTACAGGCTGTCTTGATGTGGTGCTGAAGACCACTTAACCTGTGCTTTTAGTAAGATAAGCATGCAAGTTTTTCTTGCTTGTGCTTAAAGCCATCAGGAAGTGTGTGAATGTATTAGTCCAGTACCAAGACTGAGTTAATTTATCCCACCTCCCAGTAGGGCACTGCAGCTCAGGGTCGGCTGCGCTGGTTCAGGCTTAGCATTTTACTTAATGTTTATTCACTTGTCTTCCAAAGGCCTCCGAGGCAGCAGAACACACATACCCCTATTACTGAGGAAGTACTGCCTTTATTTCATAACAAAACTACAAACTGACTTTTCAAGTAGGGATTTTTTTCTTAAGTTAATGAACTCAGTGAAATTAATCTGAAGTAAGATTGTACCTTTTTAATGTAATTGTCATTCAGAACTTTGTATGACTTGGCCTTTAAGCACTTAAACAGTTTTAACTTAAAACGGGTTACTACCAGCGAAGTCTTCTGTTTTAATTGTCTTTGCAAGCTACAGCATTTGGTTGTGACTATGCACTGACATTTAGAAAGTTATATAAAAGCTACCTTTAGATGTAAATATGAGATTACAGTTGAATATTTTGCTTTTTTCATTCACGAGGAGAGAACTACTAGAATTTGATAACAGGGCTGTTAAGAACTATAGCTGGTACTTTTAAATGTTTTTACAATGCTTAAATGTTCATAAAAATAATGAATTGTCTCAAAACTACAGGACATTGCACTTGGCAATGCACCTTACAGTCCTTGTCCTCTGATTTTCAAGATAAGGAATGTGTACTGGAGAACAGTATAGCTCCCTGCCCACATGTGCACCCAGATGTGTGAATGCAGCCAGGGTGTGGCCAGGGAGTATAGTCCAGTCGGAGTAGTGACAAGTGCCTCTTGGTCATCCAGTGCAGTCATTCACGATGTAAACCTGATGCTGCCAGAGACCTGTGGGGCGTAAAGCTTTACATTTTAATGCTTAAAGATTAAAGCATAATTAAAAATTAGCATAAGCATTAATATTTGGACTAGGCCCTTATGATAGAATCATAGAATGGTTTGGGTTGGAAGGGACCTTTAAAGGTCATCTAGTCCAACCCCCCTGCAATGAGCAGGAACATCTTCAACTAGATCAGATTGCTCAGAGACCTGCTCAGTTTATTTAGACCAATTTAAATTTCCCAGACTGTTTCCACTTTTTCTGTCAATAAGTGGTGGTTAATTTTTCTTGGTTTTGTGATCATTGATGCAATCTCAGGAAGTGTCCAGCATATGCTTAATATGCATACACTTAATAAGAATGTCTTCATGAAACAGGAATGTGAGTAGTGGCTATATTCAGTCTAGCTCCACTAGGTAAAAATTACATAGGTACATGAGTAATAGTGTAGCATTATGATGTGTATTATCATGTAGCCCTTTTCCTGGCTCCTATGATACTACTTTGAAAGGGAGGAGAGAAACTGAAAGAAACATATCTTTTAAAAAACACTGTATGCTGAGGTCCATCTGAGCCAGTAGCTTGTCTCTAATGGTGCCCAGAGAGTTACAGGAATATGGCATGCCTCTAGCGCACTTGTATATTCTCCCTGCCTCCAGTGATTTGTGCGAGTTTTCCAGAGACTGCCAAAGTATCTTAGTACTCAATAGCCCTGACTGGATTTTTCTTCAATAAATTTGTCCAATCACTTCTTGAATCCATGTGATCTTTTAGTGTTACACACTAACAGTTAGCAGTGTGACAGGAATTCTGTACTTGGTTGAATATAAGATGATATACATGTGACGGTCTGACAAATTATAGTCAATGTCTCAAACATTCATCAAAGAACTTTGGTGGAGAAAACAGCCTCTGTAAAAATGCTGGAGTTTTGTGAACAGGACAATGTGGCTGGAGGAGAGGGCCCCACAGAGGGTGGGACCGAGCTTCTCCAAAGCCACAGTTCCTTAAGTGACCAGGAGAAGGAGCACAGCATATGCGCCAGGAGGAGGAGGCCCCATGGAGGATGCGACTGTGCTTCTATCTTAAGTGGTCATGCCAGCAGGGAAAAAGGGGCAACTCCACAATGAACCCCCCCCAAAGCTCACCGACCAATTCCAGAGAACCTGGGGAACGTGAACTGCGCATGTCGAAGACCATCGACTAACACATTATAAAAGAAGGGAGAACAAGTGCTCAGCGCACGCCCTCCAGAACTGGATCTCTACACTGGCTGGACCAACACTGGACCCAGGACTGGTGAAACCCTCTTCTTCTCTCTTTCTCTCTCTTTCTCTCTCCTTCTCTTTCTTTCTCTCTCTTTCTCTCTTTTCCTTCTCTCTTTTCCTTCTGTCTTTTCCACAGTCCCTACACCTCATCCTTTTAAACATAAACCGTTGACCAAGTCTGAGACTAGGAGCGGATCTAGCCGCCCCTGGGCTCCTCTTTGAGAAGGAGTCCAGAAAGCAAGAGGGTCTGCTCTGAACCTCGTGACTCAACGGGAGGGTTCTCCTTCTGATACAGTTTCATGTTCCTTTTTTCATTTCTTTTTCTACACGTCCCTTGTCTTTTCAAACAGCGGCTTAATGACACGTTGTGAGGTTCATACCGATAAGTTCACGTGTACTTGGGCAAGGTTAGCTAGGTTGAATAAATGTTGATTGTTGTTTGAACTTCCCTGGTGTCATTCCACCTTAATTCTGACAAAGGAAATCCACGAACCTGAGTCGCTCCAACTTTGGGACGCGACACTGTCTTCTATTTATTTTAACCTGCCACCTCCTAGCTGTTTTGTAGTGCATATATTAAAAAAGGTGATGAGTTATCATTTGGTATTTACGTTCTCCATTATACTTTTGACTGTAGGGATGGCACAGATGAGGTTCAGTTTGAGATTAGGATACTTTAATTTAGTGTTCTTCATGTGTACTGTATGTCCAAGCTGCCAATGTAATCAGTAGAGCCTAGAGAGTAATTTGGTAGATGAACCATTAGGGACTGAACTCAGCTTCATGAACTATCTAAAACTAATGTCATTTGGGATTTGAGCATTATCTGCCTAATTCCGGAAAAGCATAGTTACCCTGCAAAGCCTGTGGCATATTTGTCAGCTCCTGTGTGGATGTTTCAGGTGTCTATGGCATCTTAAATGGCACCAGATCTCTGAGATGAGGTAGGTGAGTCAGGACCTCAGTGTCTACCTCAGTGAGCAGACTTGCTCTCAGGTCTCCGTCAGCTGTACTAACTGGATCTCTGTTGATGGACTGTAAGGGGAGTTTACACAAATGGCACACCAGTGGACACCTAAATCCCAGTATTTTAATCTCTGACAAAGTTACCTCATGTTCTGTTCTTAGGCGTGTCTCTTTCAGAGTTGGAGAGTCATACTTTATTGTGTTACTTCTTGCATGGAAGCTTTTATCATGATTGATTATTCTTGTAGCTTTTTAGTATACCCTTTTTCAGTTCAATTAGACTCTGCTTAAGTGGGGGAGGGAGGGGTGAACCATAATTGCATGCTGTATACAAAGATGTGGGTGAATCATAGACTTACGGTTATGATATAAAGAGGTTTTTTGATTTGTTCTGCATTTGTTGCTTAGAAGTCCTGTTATCTAGCTGTCTTGACTGCTGTCTTCATTGTATGTTTTACAGCTCCAAGATTTCTTTCCTGAGCAATTTCAGATTCTGTCAGTGTGTATGGAAAATTCAGGTTTGCTCCTTTAAAGTACATTATATCACATTTATCTACATTGAACTTTATCTGTCTTTTTACTACTGCGTTTGTGAAGTTGTTCTGCAACTCCTGTACTCAACTATTACTTTTGATATGATTTTATTTTTCAAAATTTTAATACATGTTTTCAGTAGGATAGCTGCTAGTAGTGCTCTAGAGACTCTTCATGATGTCTATTCTGAAAACTGACTGTTTTCTCTGAGTAGAGAATGTATTTAGTCATAACGAAATAAGAGTATGAACTGCATATTATTAGAATAAGAATACTGCAAGGCAACTGAAATCTCCACAGCCCATAGAATACTGTGCTTTTCTTTTTTAAAAGTGTATACGTAATAAACTGGGAAGAAAATAGTGACAACCCTTTTGTTAACATAGTAGCTGTAGAGGGTCTGTGAAACGTTCACATGTATTCCCACTATTGAATTTGCTTACAGCAGCAAAGAACTTAAATTTTGGTGCCTGTAGTAGTAGAAACTGGCATTATTAATTCATGGATACCTGAGGGTTTTGATGGTTTCTTTTCTTAATTAGCAGAGTATGTAGAACATATAAAGAAATCTTTCTAAACTTTAAAAATTCTTCTATCAGTATTTCACCTGCAAACTACAGGAGAGTAAGAATTTGATCCAAGCTGTATAATGCATTAGTCTGGATTAGGAAGAAACAGGCCTCATTTTATCTGTGCTCATCACAGATCTGAATCAAAGGCAAAACCTGCAATAAACATTGTGTTTTAAGTAAATTATAATCTTTGTCTCCAGAAAAAGATGTATTTGGTTGGGAAAATCCATTTCACCCTGGGCTGTAATTTAATCAATGATTCTACAGTTTATATTTGCAAGATTTCCAAATTCTACTGTATTTAAAGTACTTTGAAAAACAGGAATCAAGTGAGAATTTACTTGATTAATTTGTTTGTTTACTGCATTAATGGTAAAATTGGACAATGTTGCTTTATTATAATCTATATAACAAGATTTTAAAAGATATTTTGGGACAACAAAGTTTCAGATAAATATCTAGACTCATAAAAAAAACCCAACACCAACCCTTTGAAAGCACTGAACATATGTCTGCAATTTTAGACTCCTTAAAGATCTTTAAAAATCTGGGATGTAATGAAACATTTGCACAAAATTGAGTGTTAATTTGTCAAATGAATTCTGTCGCCACTGTATTTAGATCTGGTTAATGAGGTACATTATTTCATATTTTTGAAGAATAATAGAGATCCAACTTCTGGGGTATAAACCTATCAAGCTCTCCTGTAAGTTTTAGATATGTAACAAAAACCAGACAGCTAAATTATCAGTGAATTACATGGAAATAAGGCCTCTTTATTCCTTCTATTAACACAGAATTGTTGACTTCTGCACTAAAAATTCACCTGGACTACAATGACCTTAAAATGGACAGAGGGCGTAGATATAAATGTGGCTTGTGTGGAACAAATCTCCTATTCCTTGCATGTTACCTATCTGAAACAGTTTCATAAGATGGGTTTGAACTCATCCAAGAACGTAAAAACCAAAGATTTGTGGGATATTTGAGATCTTAAGAAGTTATGCAAGAATTTCACCAAGACAGAGATTACAAAAGGTGAACAGAAAAGACTCTGAAATCAAAGTTTGACCTTTCTGCTTGTCCACATGTGTGTGTTGATTTACTTTATCAATGAATAAGCATAATCTTTTAAAGTGTTTTCATGTAGTTCTGTGGGTTTTAATAGACAGAAATTTACCTAATTTAACTTCTACTGAAAAATAATATGATCCTCTCTGACAGCATTTGAATACAGCTTAACCTGATAAATATGCTCAGGATGAATCTGATTCACCTCAGGGAGAACAAAGAAATAGAAATGTATTTCATGTAAATGTCATGCTGACTGATTCTATTTATTCAGGTTTTTAATTGCATACAAAATCTACAAAAAATAATAGTGCTTTTGATATATAAGTTTTGCAAAATTATTTCAAAGTTATGTAGAAAAGAGTTTCAGCAGATAAGATACAACTTGAACCAGGAACCATAAACAAAAGGTTTATAACATCATATTGTAAGGAGGCAGATGCTACAAAGTTCTGGGTTAGAGCTTGCAGTATTTCACATATTAATTAATGTTCTGGAAGTAAAAATAAAACCCATATTAAAATTAACAAGTGATACTAACTCAAAGAGAATCATAGATACCTAAACAAGATAGAAAGAAAAAAGGAATATAGATGGAAGACAAAATAAACTGCATTCAGTTTGGGGAAAAAAACTTCTTTTTCCAAAACCCTGCATCAAAGCAGATAGGCATGATATCTCTATGCCAAATACCTGTTTTGGTTTGTAAAGTGTTGCTAAACCAACGCTAAGTGGGCATACAGAAATGAAGACAATATTAAGTGAGACATTAGCGCAGGATGGAGAGAAACCCCAGAGAACAGAGAAACAGGAAAATGAATCCATTTCAGCCTCTGAGAATTAAAACTTGTCTCTTCCCTCTGTATGTGAGACTGTCTCAGCTCTATAGAAGAAGGAAGAGCTGGGAAGTTGGGTGTGCAGAAGAAACGATAACAAAACAACCAAACACCTGAAGCAATTCACTTCACTGCTATCACCTGATTTAGGCACTTTTATTGGAAAAGGAAACATTGTCCTTTGGATGCACCTGTCTTTATTGACTAACCGAGATTAGACGTGTAATGATGAAATGGATGGTGTTAGGTGAGATGAATCCCATCCCTTGTATGCAGGAAACATCCTTCTGAGAATGAAATGCATAAGGTTTTTCTCATTGTTTCCTTGCAGTAATTACTAGTGGCCTCCTCTGACCTCTTGCTGTGGTAGCTGTGTTTCAGAACAACCAGTTTCTTGCAAAATTTCTGTGTCAGAACTGGAGGAATCTTTAATATTTCCATGACTGTCTAGGAGGACCTATTTCTTGAGATGCTGAGGAGGCACAGCTTATAACCAGAGTCATAGCAGGTGGATTTGTGACCAGCGTTGAAGAGAAGGGATTAAAGTTGAGTAGATTTTATAGAACAGTTCCAGAAGAAATTTCGGTAATAAACTGCATGTGAGTTTCCCAGCAGAGGAGTCTCTATGTAGAATTAACTTTTATGGTTCTATAGTATATTTTTGCTTTGCTGAAATTGTTGGGATGTGGTATTGGTACCTTTTTTAGCACCTGCTTGGCTTGTGGAAACATTCTTGCAATATAGTTTTACTTTCCTAATTCTTAGGTTGCCTGACAATTATTCTGCTTAGCTTATTAGAAACCATAAAATAAAAATGAGGGACAGCTGGATGTCTCTTTCACAAAATTTAGGCCAGGGCTAATTTTATGTTCGATTGCACTTGAGAGATCAAGTGCAATACACAGGCCACTAAACTAAGGTTTTCTATGTTCAGTATTGCACCGCACTAGGCAGAAAAATAAAAAAGTAAAAAATGGGAATGAATAAATGTGCCTGTGGGATTTCTTGTATAAAATTTAAACTAAAAGTGGAAAAAAACCACAGGGAGTGGC